ATTAAGGAGGCTGATAAGGAACTGCTGTGCCCCTGGGAAGGAAGTAAAACAGTTCCCTGAACGCCGTCCTCCTTTCGATTGCATAATACATATACTACGTTCTGTTTCGGGGAAGTATTCATATTAGTGAAATTAATTAATATTTCCTAAATACTCCTAAGAATTTGACCAAAAGTTTAGAACTGAAATATAAGCTATTGCTTCCAGATTTCCTGAGTTTCATTCTTTCTCGTATATTAGATCTTACAACCTTATGGTTTCTGGCATTTTGTTTCTTTGCAAAACAAAGGAAAAATGAAGCCGGACCCATTGGTACAGGCATGTAATCCCAGTACACTAGGGGCTACAGCCGAGGACTTCAAATTCAAGAGCAGTCTGGGCAACTTGTCTCATAGTGAAAAGTGAAACCGTGAGTGGAGACATAATTCAGTCCCAGACTGCTTGCCTGGCATCCACAGGCCCTGGGTTCAAGACCCAGCATCGCAGAAGGAGAAAGAGGGAGAGATCACTAAAAGGACGTAGCTTGACCACATCTTTTAGTTTTTCTAAACTTTGATAGAATTAGTAAGTGCAAAACATAGCCTCTATTTGATTGTCTATTTTTGTGGTTGTTAAGACATACACTCATTTGATGGCATTAAAGCAGTCTTTTATTCCTGACTTATACGAAGAAACAAAAAGAATCTTGTAAAGAAACTGCTTTTTATTTTAAACTTGGCTTCCAGCAATGGCCACAAGTGTCACTGTAGAAGGTTATTACCGGGTTTGCAGAATTCCCACAGAGAGTGTGAGCCATCTTGAGAGAGGCCTGAGATTTTCTTTGTTGACACAAAGTCAGCCTTTAATATAATGTGACGGTTCCAGGGAGTAACTAATCATTGCATTCAATGTATTTTTTTGTATTCTTAATTAAAATTTTTATTAAAAAATCCACATATTTGGGGAATACCTTGTGCGTGCACACATTAGGTACCATTTAAATCAAAATAAGTAAATCCAGCTGGGTGTGGTGGCGCACACCTTTAATCTCAGCATTCAGGAGGCAGGAGCAGGGGAATCTCTGTGAATCCAAGGCCAGCCTGGTCTACAAGCAAGTTTCAGTACAGCTGGGCTTATCTTAAAAAAACAAAAAACAAAAAAAGTTAGGCTAATTTACATCTCAGATATCAATCAATTCTTTTGTTAGAAACATTCAAATTCTAATCTGTTTTTGGAATACGCAGTACATTGCTATTGTGAGTGTTACTCTACCTCACAGCAGAATTTATTTATTCTATATATTCAGCTTAGCATCCATCTGGTAACCAACCTTTCCCCATTTCTCCTTCCTCACTGCTTCCCACATACAGCGTCTGATAAAGGTTACTCCACTCGTTTTTTAGATATATTTTTACTTTGTGTGTAGGAGCATTTTGTCTGAATGTATATCCGTGCACTGTGTGCTGTAGTGTCCAAGGAAACTAGAAGATGTCATCAGGTCCCCCTGGAAGTGGAGACACAGGCAACTGTGAACTGCCACGTGGGCGTTAGGAACCAAACTTAAAGAGGACCCTCAGCTTCCAGCTGCTGAGGCTCTCTCCAGGCCCCACCACAATGTTTTTTAATTCTTCATATAAGGGAGATTATTTGGTATTCATTTTCTTGTAACTGCTTTTTAACTTAGAATAATGTTTTTCTTTTCATTCATGTTGTCATAAATAATGAGATATACCCTTTTTAATGATTGACTATAATATGCATGAACATATAAAATATGCTTATGTATAAATACCACATTTTCTTCATTTATTTTAAGAACTGTGTATTTCAGCTCATTATCCATTTCATGACTGAATCATGATAATGATGATAATGGTGGTAGTGTTGATAATGGTTTGCTGTTGGAAGGAGGAGGCCGCTTGTTTGTCCCAGCCTCCTGGTTAGCTTACACCCGAAATAACCACACAGAAACTGTATTCATTAAAACACTGCTTGGCCCATTATCTCTAGTTTCTTATTGACTAATTTTTGCATCTTAATTTAACCCATTTCTATTAATTTGCATATTGCCACGTGGCAGTGGCTTACAGGAAAAGATTCTAACCGGCATCTGTCTCAGGCAGAGGATCCATGGCTTCTCTCACTCTGCTTTCTTCCCCCAAGATTTTAGTTCTGTCTTCTCCACCTGCCTAAGTTCTGGCCTATCAGACCAAAGCAGTTTCTTTATTCATTAACCAATACAAGCAACACGTAGAAAGAAGGACCTCCTACACCAATTTGCTACTGAGTTTCTTCAGTTAATCAGATGGATAGTGGGCAAATATTTTCCTGCATTATGTATGTGTAAATAATGTTTATTCCTATAGATTTAGTTTTTACTATACATTTTATTAAATGTGTTCTTTGTCAATTTTATATGTGTGCATAATACATTCTTTTTACTCTCTCTTCCTGTCTCTCCTCTTCCCTCTCTCCTCTCTTCCCTCTCTCCTCTCTTCTCTCTCTCCTCTCTTCCCTCTTTCTCATCTTCCTCTCAGTTCTGCCAATCACCCCTTTTCACTACAAGGCTCCTTCTTACATTCATATGCTTTTGTTTTGTTTTGTGACACCCTGAGTTTAAACAGGGCTGTTGTGTGATCATGAGCTTGGAACTGATCATTGGGAGTCACACATGGGTATCCAACTAAATATAACAACTGAGCATCCCCCAGAGTCCAACGATAGCCAATAGTTCAGCAGGGAGGGGTGGGGCCCATGAGCCTCTCTCTCAGGGGTGTTAGACTGACGTCAAGTCCAGTCTTATACAAGTTCGGTGGAGAGAGCCACAGCTGCTGTGAAATCATGGTCGCACAGACTGTGTCCTACCCAGAGGTGAACATTTCACAGCCTTTTGGACTCTTCCATTCTTGCTGGCCCCTCTTTCTACAATGACCCTTGAGCATCAATAAGATGGCGTCGATGCCCTCGTTAGGCCTGAGCACTGGGGTCACTTTTCTTCAACACATGCAGCACTGTTCGCGTTATTAAATCTTTTATAAACGCCTTTGCATCTCTTTTTAGTTTGCGTGTATGTATTTATGTCTGTGTGAACAGATGCCCACACATCTGTGTTCAGAGGTGTGCTCCAGGCCAGAAGAGAGCTAGAGTTACAGGCCATTGTGTGTCACCCAACTGTCCTGGGAATTGACCTGGAGCTCCCTGGCTGAGCAGAAAAGACTTATTAACTGTGGATCCATCTCCACAGCCTCTTGCTACTTTTAACAAATGTTTAACTCAAGGATTCTGAAGCCCTTGTTGAAACCCCAAACCTGAGTATCTGTTCTTTGAATGATGTTCTTAAGCTCCTATGAGCATTCCTCGTACCTCTTCACCGTACCCCTCATGTATATTCAGATATTGTCTTCGCATCGGCTGAATCTTCCATTCAATAGATTCTGCTATGGATGCCGCCATTCCATTTTCATTTCATTTATTGTGCGCCACAGCTTCAGGATTTGTTTCATTTTTTAAAAATTACTTTGCTTTCTGTAGTAAGAATGCCTGATAATTACTGAATTATTTCTCTTGTGTTTTTATTTTGGGTTTTGGTTTTGGTTTTTGAGACAGGGCTTCTCTGTGTAGCCCTGGCTCTCCTGGAACTCACTCTGTAGACCAGGCTGACCTTGAAACTGTATCTGGACCTCTTGAGTGCAGGGGTGAAAGGCATGAATCACCACCAATGGGATTCTCTTGTGTTTTAGAGGAATATATTTCAGTAAGTTATCTCTAAAACTTTTGCCACCTGATCATTTTGGGCTTTGAAAAAATACATTTCTTTTATCTTTTGAGATCATAATTGTATCATTTCCTCCTTCCTTTTCTTCCCTTCAAACCTTCCCCTGTGTTCTTCCTTCCTCTCCTTCAAAATCATGGCCTCTACTTTTCATTTTCATTTTTACTTGCACACACACACACACACACACACACACACGTATACAAATATTTCTTCACTCATAAATACAACCTATATAGCATTACTTGTATGTATGTTTTCAGAGCCGCCCATTTGAAATTGGATAACCAGGCAACATGCTCTTCCCTGAGGGAGACTATCTCTCCCACTCACAGGTGCCTGTTTCACTGAATAGGATCTGATTATATACCTCAGACTGGCCTCTAAGTTGCAATCCTCTGGCCTCCATATCTCTAGTGCTGGGATTACAGGCATGTGTCACCATGCCCAGCTTCTCTGGACTTTCTCGAAATTCATTAAGTTTCCATTGTTTAGAATTCTTGTCTAAGGGGTCACACAAAAACATCACCTCATGATCAGCGCTGGCGTCTCACGGTTCCCTGGAAGCTCTTGATGCTAGTTAGTATCTGACGGCATCCACGTGTTGAAATATCCGGCATTGACTCCTGCTTCACTGTTTGCCTTTCCCTGTGCCTGGTCTTCCAGGAATTCCAAGCAGGCTGTTTGCTCTGGAGTCTGCGGTCATTGCCACTGTTCCAACACTTGACAGCACAAGTCCCAGAACTCCAAAACCAATGCCACCGTTCTGTTTGTGAAAGATGGCATCCCTAGCTTAGCTTCCTAACAGTACCAAAATTACAGTTGTGAAGTAACAACAAACATAATTTTATGATTGAGAGTCACCACAACCTCAGGGACTGTATTCAAGAGTGGCAGCATTAGGAAGGTTGAAAACCACTGTTCTAAGCTGCTTGATTCTTGGATTTGTGGATTCCTTTCCAGTTTTCTCAACCATTTTTCCATTATTCTGCTAAAAACCAGGTCTCTCATCTGGTTTCCTTAACTCTTGTGACAGTTGTTCTTCCGTAAATAATGCAGACTGCTGTTTCTGTGGGTAATTACTACGGTCTCACTATGCCCTTTTCAGAGAATTTTTGTAACTAATTCAGTGTTTGTTTTTAAGTAAATCCTTGAAAGAAATCAAACTCCAGCCTTTCCTAATAGTGTTCCCATCTGGACTTCTTGGGCCATTCGCTATGTTTCTTCTGTTTTCTGCTTCCGCCGCTAGGACTCAAAGGCTCCCTCCAGAGGCTGCAGCTGGAATATGTGGACGTGGTCTTCGCAAACCGTCCAGACAGCAACACTCCCATGGAAGGTGAGTAAAGGAATTTCTTAAGAAAAAGAAGCCACAGAGCTGCTGGCCCCAGCCTGAAGACTGTTTCTCCTCACAGTAAGTAACGAACATTCAGACGGATAAGATAGAAGGAAAAAATGCAAGACCCTTCCGAAGTCCTTTACCTACGGCATTTACCCTGAAAACCTATAGGCTACTTTTTCTCCTCTGCTCCTATTCCTTCTTCTGACTTCTTCCTTCCCCATGATTCTTAGTGGCTTTTCTTGATTGCAAAATATTCACTTTTTCCAGATTCATTTCACTTCCGTGACTTCATCAACTATAACTATTGCATTCATCAGAAGGGTTTATAACTCAGTCCCCGGTTCTGAGGGACTCCTTGGAGGACCTTCCTTCCCCGCCGCCTCCCCCACTTCCGCATCTAAAGCCCTTTTATGCTTCATCTTTATTTGCACTGGATTCAATTATTTTAATTAATTAATTAATTCTTTTCTCATTTTACATACCAATCCCAGTTCCCATTCCCTCCCCTGCTTCCACCCCCTCTACCTTCTACCGTCCCATCCACTCCTCAGAGAGAGTAAGGCTTCCCATTGGGAATCAACGAAGTCTAACATATTACTTTGCAGCAGGACCAAGGCCTTACCCATACATCTAGGCTGAGCAAGGTGTTCCTCCATTGAGAATGAGCTCCAAAAAGCCAGTACAAGCCTTAGGAATAAATCCGGGCCCACTGTCAGTGGCCCCACAGACTGTTCCAGCCATATAACTGTCACCCACATTCAGAGGGCCTAGTTTGGTCCTATGCTGATTGCCCTGCTGTCAGTCCAGAGTCAGTGAGCTCCGGTTAGCTCAGGTCAGCTGTTCAGTGAGTATCTCTATCATAGTCTTGACTCCTTTGCCCATATTATTGTTTCTCCCTCTCTTCAACTGGACTTTGGGAACTCAGTCCAATGCTTGCTGTGGATTTCTGCATTTTCTTCCATCAGTTGAGGGATGAAGGTTCTATGATGACAATGAAGGTAGTCATCAATCTGATTAGAGGGGAATGTTAGTTCAAGCACCCTCTCCACATTGTTTAGGGTCTTAGCTGGGGTCATCCTTGTGGATTCCTGGGAATTTCCCTTGTGCCATGATGTGGGATTCCCCAATGTCTGCTGTGAATATGTTTTATTGTTGTTGGTTAATAAAGAAGTAGCCTTGACCTGTGACAGGGCAGAATAGAGCTAGGTGGGAAAACTAAACCAGAATGCTTGGACAAAGAAGGTGGAGTCAGAGAGATGCCATATAGATGCCCTGGAACCATGCTATCCCCATAACGACTCCTTCAAACAAGATATCTCTTCCCTTGCTCTCTCTCTCTCTGTCCTTTCCCCATCTCAATCATATTGTTTCCTCATGTTCTCTTCCTCCCTCCCCTCCTTCCTTCCCCTTCTCCTTTTAACCTCTCTTCTCCCCTCACCCCCATGCTCCTAATTTTCTCAGAAGATTTTTGTCTATTTCCCCTTCTCAGGGAGTTCTCCTTGTTACCTAGCATCTCTAGGGTCATGGACTATAGGTTGGTTACCCTTTGCCTTATGTCTAATATCCACTTATGAGTGCATACACACCATCTTTGTCTTTCTGGGTCTAGCTTACCTCACCTAGGACAGTATTTTTTAGTTCTATCCATTCTCCATTTGCATGCAAATTTCAAGATGTCATTGTCTTTTACCACTGAATAGTACTCCATTGTGTAAATGTATCACATTTTCTTTATCCTGTCTTCGGTTGAGGGGCATCTAGTTTGTTTTCAGGTTCTGGCTATTGCAAATAGTGCTTCTATGAACACAGTTGAGCAAATGTCCTTGTAGTATGATTGAGCATTCTTTGGGTATATGCCCAAGAGTAGTATTGCTGGGTCTTGAGGTAGGTCGATTCCCAATTTTCTGAGAAACCACCATACTTTGATTTCCAAAGTGGTTGTACAAGTTTGCACCTCCACCAGCAATGAAGGAATGTTCCCCTTACTCCACATCCTCTCCAGCTCTAAAATATACAAAGAACTAAAGAAACTAGACATTAAATACCAAATAATACAATTTTAAAAAATGGAGTACAGATCTCAACAGAAGAATCTCAAAAGATACTTAAGGAAATGCTCAACGTCCTTAGCCATCAGGGAGATGCAAATCAAAACGACTGAGATTCCATCCTACACCAGTCATAATGACTAAGATCAAGGACCTTCCTTTTCGACAGTGATACTGTCTGATTAGTTTCCTGGGTACTAAATGCCAAGGGTGGGGAGTTGAGAAGAACCGCGCAAAAGAGGCTCCTCTTCGCGGTTTGGTTGTGGCTCTTCAGGAAGCTGTGTAGCTGTCACCTTCTGTCAGAAAAACATGGTTTGTCCCCTGAGAAACTTTCAGAACATTCCTAAAGTCACATTTTCTTCATTTATACTTGTTTCCAATTCTGCCTGGGATAGCTGGGAAATACAATGTTTTTGGACAACAAAGTATAAAAGACGATTGAGATTTACGAGCAATGGATCACAGTAACCTAAGGATAGAGATATTTCAAGATGAACTTGGAATATTTGGTTGGTTTTATTTTTTGTTATTTTTTTAAGTTTTACAACACTTGGACTATCAATTTTTTAACAATTCAAATAATGTAATTCACATGAAATTACACTTAAAGTAATTTTGTCTTGATAATTCAAAAAGCTGTTCAAATTTTTGTAATAAATTTAGTTCTATGAAGATTTAGCTTTGCTGTAGGGCCATAGAAATTAAGGGGAAATAAAAATGTTTAAAGTTCATAGGAATTTCTCTAGGTTGCTTTTCTGACCAGACACAAAAAAAGTTAGAAACATTTATCTTTTTTATGTTTATTTTTTAAATTCTATTGCCACTTATCTTTTCCAACTATGGAGAAATGTGCATAACTATATCTATATAAACATTTTATCTGTGTTTACATATCATACATATGTGTGTATATATCTGTCCAAGCAAAGATTGTTTGATAAAGCAAATCATAAACAGTATTAGAGATATTTATTTCAATGATTATATGTTATCATACAATTCACAAAAAAAATATTAAAACAGAACACTAAAGCCATTTAGTCAGCAAAACTATGAAAGAAAACAGAAGATAGTGGATTCTGAAAGGCTAATTAATTCACATTTTGAGTGCCTTGGGGCTAGTCTCCTCTTTGGAATGGTGTCTTACAATTATACATATATATACATATATATATACGTATACATATATATATACATATATATATACATACATATACATATATATACACAGGATAGCAGATAGTTGGGTTTTTTGTTGATGATGCTGTTGTTTTCTTTGTTTTTTTTCATCCTTCCTGCATCCTATTTTACCGTTAATCTTAGAGATATATTATAGTCCCTCAATCAGAAAATATAAGCTGCATTAAATCTACAAAAGGCAAACTATATTACAAGGGCCTCTCAAAGAAAACACATAGTTACAGTATGTGGGTAAAACAAGACGGAAATCCTTCAGCTACATGATGCTAACAGGCTAAGTGCCTCTTGAAAAACACCACTGATGATATACTGAAATTTACTTAAAAGAAATTTCCAAGTATTTTTTTCAAAGAATAGATTTCTGCTACCTGAACCTGGTAGGGTTTGCAGCGAATGCCCTATCTAACTCTACTAAAAGGAGAGAAAATTTCATTTTCCCTAAGATACTCAAGTAAAATTCCACAAAGAGAAATAGGAAGCCATCTCAGAAAGAGTCCTTGTCCAGAAGAGTGTTTAAGAGTGGCTATTTCCCACTTCCAATTAAGTCACAAAACACAGACTTCTGTAGCTGCTCAGCAGCAATCACCCACCTCTACTGGAATGTGACCTGCTGTCTCTCCCCACCCCCAACCAGGAACCCACCCCAGGCCTAAAAACCTCTGAAGTGAAGTTTATTCTCTGCAAGGGCTTAGTGGAGATGCTCTTCAGGCAGTTCTCATGAAGACTTCTCCCAAGTTCAGATAGCTTGTTTGCTTTCTGAAACTGTATATCTAAATTCATATACTTATTTGTAATTTACACTTACTAATTTGTAGGCCAAATAAAAACACCAGAGTTGCATTCTGGTCCCAGCAGCACAGATTTTTACCATCAACCCTTTCTGCTTCATTCTAACAGAGGCCAGTGCTGTTTGGGGAAATAGAGAGAAAAGGGAAATAGAGAGACAAGGACCGCCGGGTGAATTGGGACATTAGCTCCCCAAATGCGGGGATGGGGACAGACCTGGGTTGCTTCTAGAGTCTATGCTAAGATTCATGATGGTGGTGATTGTAAATCCTGGGTCTGTGCTTCAGTAAAAGTCGTTCACACACAAGGAGGCTACCTTAAAACAATGCCTAAGAGACAGGTTGTGTCTTACCCAAACTACCCTTTGCGACCCTTCGGTGACTGTTAGTGTAACTCTACAGCCTTTATTCAGCTCCTCTAGGCAAAATGGCAGAAACATCTTCAGAAATTCACCCAGCCAATTTCTTTAAATAATAGTAGGAAAAACAAAAACAAACTTAATCGTTCCCATCCTTTCATTGTCTCAGGACATCACAACTTAGTTAAACCCATTTCTATTCGCTTTAGTTATGCAACAGTAATTGCCAAGCAGATACTGTTTAATCGCATATGTATCAAAACTACATGGCCTGGCATTTGTAGGTCTTCGTTCATTTAACTGTTCCTTTCCAAATCTATTCAGTTGGGACATCTCTTTTAAACTGGAGATGCAGAAGCATCTCCCTACAGAGGCAGCCCAGGCATTACGCCACTAGCCCTTCATCATTGCTGAACACTCAAGCTAATGGACTCAAACAACCAACACCGAACACTGAACATGAACTGCGCAAATATCAAGATCATGCATGTGCCCACGTTGGCTATCTCTAAGCTACATCTTTAAATAACCTCCATTTAAATCTGATTAAAATGTCATCTCCATTTATGTGATCTGTAGCATGAATCAGTGTTCATTGGAGGCGT